GGCGGTCTCCTCCTCTGGGTGCAGTGCTCGGTATTGATGATCTGTCTCTGTATAGTTCTCCTGGCGGTCTCCTCCTCTGGGTGCAGTGCTCGGTATTGATGATCTGTCTCTGTATAGTTCTCCTGGCGGTCTCCTCCTCTGGGTGCAGTGCTCGGTATTGATGATCTGTCTCTGTATAGTTCTCCTGGCGGTCTCCTCCTCTGGGTGCAGTGCTCGGTATTGATGATCTGTCTCTGTATAGTTCTCCTGGCGGTCTCCTCCTCTGGGTGCAGTGCTCGGTATTGATGATCTGTCTCTGTATAGTTCTCCTGGCGGTCTCCTCCTCTGGGTGCAGTGCTCGGTATTGATGATCTGTCTCTGTATAGTTCTCCTGGCGGTCTCCTCCTCTGGGTGCAGTGCTCGGTATTGATGATCTGTCTCTGTATAGTTCTCCTGGCGGTCTCCTCCTCTGGGTGCAGTGCTCGGTATTGATGATCTGTCTCTGTATAGTTCTCCTGGCGGTCTCCTCCTCTGGGTGCAGTGCTCGGTATTGATGATCTGTCTCTGTATAGTTCTCCTGGCGGTCTCCTCCTCTGGGTGCAGTGCTCGGTATTGATGATCTGTCTCTGTATAGTTCTCCTGGCGGTCTCCTCCTCTGGGTGCAGTGCTCGGTATTGATGATCTGTCTCTGTATAGTTCTCCTGGCGGTCTCCTCCTCTGGGTGCAGTGCTCGGTATTGATGATCTGTCTCTGTATAGTTCTCCTGGCGGTCTCCTCCTCTGGGTGCAGTGCTCGGTATTGATGATCTGTCTCTGTATAGTTCTCCTGGCGGTCTCCTCCTCTGGGTGCAGTGCTCGGTATTGATGATCTGTCTCTGTATAGTTCCCCTGGCGGTCTCCTCCTCTGGGTGCAGTGCCGGTATTGATGATCTGTCTCTGTATAGTTCTCCTGGCGGTCTCCTCCTCTGGGTGCAGTGCCCGGTATTGATCTGTCTCTGTATAGTTCCCCTGGCGGTCTCCTCCTCTGGGTGCAGTGCTCGGTATTGATGATCTGTCTCTGTATAGTTCTCCTGGCGGTCTCCTCCTCTGGGTGCAGTGCTCGGTATTGATGATCTGTCTCCCCCCTCTCATCATACATAGAGGGGGGGCAGCAAACCAGAGTGTAACCAGAGTGTAAACAAGTAGCGTAAAGACTCAGGAGTCTAGGTACTAGATCCCCTGCATGCTTTTTACACCATTCTGCTGGGAATCCATCAGGGCCCGGGGATTTATTATTCGGAAAGGAGCTGATAGCCCAAACAATCTCTTCCTCCGAGAAGGTACCCTCCAGAAGCTCTCAATCAGCATGGGACAGCCGCGGAATGTCCACCGAATCAAGAAGTGTGGCTAACAGGTTTAAATCATAAGCAGGTAGAGAGGCCCATAAAAGGCAACAAACTCCCGGAGGATGTCTCCAGGATCAGTTATTAACCTCTTGCCGTCCGCCCGTAGTAAAAAAACGGACGGACGGCACTGCAGCATCTGCGGTTTGCCGTCTCCAGACGGCAATTTTTTTCTGCTTAGCGGGCACGCACGGGCAGAAAAGACCCGCTAAATGCACACACCCGTTACCGGGTGTTTCACATATAGGCGATCGGCGGGTCCATAG